TTTGAAAATTAATAAATATTATATAATAATATTGATTAATAAAAGAATTAAAAAAATATTTTTTCCAGATAGAGATTTTCATTTATTATTATATTAGACATTCTTTATTTTTGTTTACTAAAATTTTGTATAATTTATGTATACAGTGAGACAAGTTTAGAGTGTCCCGTAAAAAAAGATCAAAAGTATAAAAATGAATCACCGTAATGTGTACCTGCATAATGTAAACATTAGTTTATAATCTGATAATTGATTGAAAATTAATATATAACTAAAAGTTTATATAATTTTTAGTTAGTCATTTGTTATGTTTATTAAAAGAAAATTGTGTGTGGACTAAAATACGAGTTTCCAAACATTTAAAAATCTTATTTTGCTATGTGCGTAAATTATTATTTTCCTAGGAACTCAAAAAAATTGTATATCTGTCAGTCTTATTAATGTCATGTCAAGTTTTTTCATGTGAGTTTAGACCTCATATAATAGCTTACTTTGTTGTATTACTAGGTGACAGTTTCTGAACTTTTTCCTTTAATAACGCAATCTCTTCTTGCAGCCCTTGAATTGTGTTATCTTTAATGCGATTATCATTTTTTAAATCCACAATAGTATCTTTTAATCCATCTATTATTACATCCTTGTCGTCATCAAATTCCTTCAGAAGCTGATTTGTCGATGGTCGTTCGGAAGGTTCTTTTCGCACCATTTGTTTGACCAGTTGTGTCTAAGTAAAAGTACATACACAATTTAGATTTAAGCCCTCATTCTGTAACTCTTAATGACAGTAATGATATTGTTATATTGTCAAGAGTTATATAGAATAGGAGCCTGAATAAAAAGATCAACATAAATATATATAATATAAAATATAATAAATAATTTAATGTATTTAAAATTCACCCATTTATGTCGTTTAAAAACTTCTGGTACTGTATCATTTTTTAAAGAGCTGATTATAGAACTTAACTCCATTTGAGTTTTTATTGGAATTAATAGCTCGGTGAGAACGATTCCTATACTATAGATATCACTCTGCAAAAAAAAAAAGAACATTATAATGCATATATTATTAGGTGTTGGAATTAATTCGTAGCGTTTTTTAATGAAAGAATGTTATTTATTTCACATGAGCATTAAAAAATACATTAATGAAAGTACTTCCCATCACTTGTAAAACGCTACGAATTAATTCCAACACCTAATATATTCGAATATGTAATACTTTATATTCATTAGTATTTTTTCCTTTTTTAATTACCTGTCGATCACACTTTCCTTCCAGTTGTTCTGGTGCTGCGTACAAATGAGTACCAATTACGGAATGATGCTTTTCTTTTTGTAATGGACAAGCTAAACCGAAATCACCTAATTGAATCTGAAGCTGACCGGTTGTCGAAATAAATATATTACTTGGCTGTAAAATATAAATATATTCTTGGCTATAAAATGTAATCACATTTCGGAAGAAGTTTATGTTGATGAAGATATGCGTATTTTTACCTTTATATCGTGATGTACAATTTTTTGGGAATGCATATAGTTGACTCCACAAAGTATCTGTTGAAATATTGCTTTAACTATTGGTTCAGGTATTACACTTATTTTACCGCGCAGCCAATGCTCGAGTGTTTGTTCACACAAAGCCATTTGAATGTATAAAATCATGTATGGTCGATTCTGTTAACCCAAAATATATGACAAATATTAAAATTTATTATATTTACCAATATACTTTCAATATCCACTTTTATCTTAAAACAAAGTATTTATATACTTAAGCAGCTCTGACAAGGGTTAAACTAGTTTTGAACAATAATTAATGTTTCAAATATTTGAACGGATTCCCACATTGTTTTACTATGGACATAACAAGATTCTCGTTTCTAACCAATGAATTAGTTATTTTCATTTTAATAATTGACATATTGTTCAATTTTTATTTATTATACATTATAAGTTATTAAAATTTGACACAGTCTCTTATCATAATTATTAAGTTATTGCTGTTTTATTCTCATTAGTTATTCAGAATAATTTTGATTTAAATTTGTTACGTATAAGAATTGATGAATACCAAGTAAAGATAAAAAATGTTATTCTTTATATTAATGAAGTAATAAAAAAGTTATTATGTTATTGCTCTTTTCTGGCCGCTTTCTTTTTTAAATTTGCTTTGCAAAAAAGGAGGTGATACATATTTCCTAATTACGTTTATATACTTACTTTTTTAGAAGTGTACATACATACTTCTTGACTAGTAGATTCTATGCAATCTGCAATGGTTTGATCTAGATTTTCATTATTATTACTATTTCGAAAAGATACTACGTCTGAATAAGATTCGTTAGTACATTCTTCTATGTCACTTTTCTCAACAATTTCTTCTCCGGTGGTGTTAACTGATGAATTAAGTTCCTCAAATCTTTGACTAATAGTGCTGCGATTAAAAATACTATCACTAGAATTCCCATATACCTTATATTGCTTTTTCTTTTTATCTGTATACATATCAATTGTAGAAGATGCTTTAATATCAGATAATATATTTTGCTCATTGATACATATTTTACTATTATTAAAATTCACACCATTTTTATTATCGAATAAATCATTGATGGACTGCGAACAATATGACTTGGTTTCTTCTCGATTGTGTTTTGATCTATGTGATGACCTGTATGATTTTCGATCTGTAGATGACGAAATATTGGACGATGACAATGGTTCCATCCAAGCCGCATTGTAGGAAACAATATTAGTATGCTTTAATTTAGCTAATGTCCATACTTCATTTAATTGCTGCTTGATAGTCTCTATATGATCAATGGGCATAACTATTTTTTTAATTGCATATTCGATGCCGTCGAGACGATGTTGTGCTTTATAAACTTCGCCAAAACCTCCATGAGCAATAAAGCATATTTCGCGAAATTCGTCGCGATAACGGAATTTCGGTGTTATGAATCTGTAATGTAAGTAAGAATGTGAATAATATCAATGTATTATAATATACTCATCGTAAAAAAATGTTGCGCACAGATCTAGACTATTATTCAAAATAAAATAAAATAAATAAAGATAGGGCGAAATGATACAGGACTTTTCATTTTTTCTTAATAAGATCTATGAGAAAGAAATCAGTTAACGCGGACCTTAATTCTTAAATGTTTCAGAGTGAATTTATATACATATCCAATTCTGCAAATTGCGCGCCAAAATCTTTGTAACGTAAACTGTAAATAAGTTAATCGACCGGGATCCGAATTCGAATCTCCTGTATTCCGCGCGGATATCCTCACCATTTGCAATGAATTAAATTATTTATATTAAGTATTAAGATGCTTAGATTAATATCAAGTTATCAATATCCTTTTAAAATGTTTATTAGTATAAAAAATTAATATTAAAAAAACTTTGAGAAAAAAGTTATAGGAATCGACGTTATGATTAGTGCGCATAAAATTATATACCGAAAAAACATTTAATGTATCATCATTAGAAGAATAAATTTAAAAAATCGTATGACATCATATATGTAACAAACTCGGCCACTTACAGGCCATCTTCAGCGCAAATATTGAAGACATCATAACAATAAATTAATTAACTTGATCCGTTGTGTCTCATTGACAGTTGAATTCGAATCCGTAAGACAATGTTTATTCCACAGCTAATTAAAAGGCTGAATGGTAATAAAAATTATTAAATTGCTTATCAATTTAAGACGTGATATTACTACTAGTTTGCATTTCAAGACTGCAAAAGATTTTGGTGCGCGGTTTGCAGAATTGAATATAAATATTAATTCATCGAAAGAATATTAATTCAATTAAAACGTCTAACGAATATAATTATTATGTATTATTATTAAATCGACGTTTTAAATAATTAACGTTTTTTCACATTGATACCCAGTGTAGATTGATATGCTCCTTATTAATTATTGAATTAATTCATTTTGAAAATTTAAGCACCAAGATCCGCTTTAACCGAAAATGGATTTATTTTTCTTGATTTATTTTTTTCGTCGGTCTAATACAAATTGTAATTGTTGATTTACGAGAAAGGTTCGAAGTCGTGTTGATCCCGTTATTGAGAAAACAATCCCAACATCTGTGTCATTTTTTTGTCAAAGAACATATTATATAAAATGCTGTAATACCTTGGTATAGATATAGACAAAGCATTTTCACTTTCAAGTTCACCACGAGCGACTGTAAGCATGTGATACAAAGCATGTTGATATTGTCCTCTTAGTATTTCGAATTCCGGCGTATTATAGGTGTCGTTAATTAATTGCAACTGGTGTAGTTTATCACAGATCGCTATAAAACAAATATTATTGTATACAAAATAAATGTCTTAACAGAAATATTTCTACATGTTAATAGTAATGTTTAAAGAGAAGGATTACCATAATATAATTGATTTCTGCGAACTTTATCCTCTTCTAACAGATTGCATAATTGTCGTAGGAGTGATTCAATTAAGATGCCAGTGGATTGAGTTATTTGCTGTTCTCGTGGCGCAATTGATCTGTTTTCGTTTTTATTAATATCGTCCAGACAAAATGTTGATCTCATGTTGTTACTTGAGCCTAAACAAACCAAGATTTGTACATTTCAGATATGTATCCCAGTTTTAAGAAATTACAAAAATGTCCATTTGAATGTTAACGAAAATAATGCAATGTATATAAAAAAATGTGACCATAAAATTTTGTCCATTAAATCATTAATAGCGTGTATTTATAAAAATATAAACTCTGCAGTATTAGAGTTAAGTTTTGGTTAAATATTAAATAATATTTTATTAAATATTAAATAATGATATTTTTTCGAAATGACCATCTTTAGCTTCGATTCAAGTTTTAAGATGCTTCGGAAACATCAATGCATTTTTTATGGATAAATTCTACCAGGTAGTTAATAGAGCGGTCTTTAATTTACTAAATAATGAAAATCTTTTAAAATCTGTAATTTTTTTTAATTAAATATAACCAATACTTTAGAGTTTGCTTTATTTTAAATATATATTATTATAGTATAACTATATAGAACAACGGTATATTAACGGTAACATAGACTTAAAAAAACGAACTCTGAAATATTAGTATTCTCTGCATATAGTAAGCTGACATTTTGTAGTTTAAATAAGTCTTTAATGTCATTTTAACAGCTTCTTTAATATTATTTTGATGTAAAAATGAGAAATAGTTTATTTGAGTAATGACTTATCATTTTGTGATCATTTTTTTGTCACTTACATAAAATTATGGATACTGAAACACCACTACTGTGTTTATTGATAATTTAAAATTTTTATAATTTAACATTACAAAAATATCTATTTCAATTCTTAAACATAAAGAATGATGCAACATATGATGTACCTATTACTATGGCAAAAAATTAGAAAAAAATCATTATCAATAAACATTTTTATAAGATATTCTTTTCTTCTTTCGCACTGAAATGAATTCGTCATTTTAAAAAAGATTCTATATTAAAAACTTAAAATTTTTACTTATTATTAGAAAATTTTTTATATATTAAAATCTATTTTCTATATTTCGTAAAAATTTCAAGATAATACATTTTGAAAATATTTAAACATTCCATTTATCATAACATAAAAGTCACTCGATCCTATATTTTGGAACATAATTATTACATCAAATGTTCGAAAAAGAGCGTCAGATTGATGAGCACTATATATA